GCACTTCCTCAACACTTTGTTGCCTGTCAAACTCTGCTTCAATAGCCGGAATGGGAATGTTGTCTTTGAAAAATCTTGTGACACTGATCAATGATGGGACTTTTGAAATCAAATCTTCATATATCTCTTGCTGAGTTACTGACTGATGTATGTTTTTGAAAACTACTGAAAAGTTCTTGTTCTTGGGATACTTGTAAGTGTTGAATATTCTATTTGTGCTTAATAAGTTGTTAATTGTCTTTTTAAAGAGCGCTAGGTACTTGAAAGATAACTTAATTTTGTTGTTAGCCGTATTGGAGAAGAATTGAGCGGATATTTGCGTTTTAATCTCTTTGCTGAAATGGGAAAAGTTTGGAATGTCTTTCACGAATATGGGGGGGATTTCTTATATTCTCGTCTTGTGTGTTTCCTCAACGTCGAAATGGTTGAGTCATATGTCTTGATCACTACTATTTTTTAAGAGGAACATTTCTATTGCTAACAGGTATACTATATTCACTGATATTATTTTCTTGTACTTATACTTGTATTTCCTTGATGGGCTACCTGGGGGGAGTACTGTCACCGTGGCCTCTTTTTACACGGTTACCTGTCTTATCACTGGTTTTGGTGTTGGCGGGGTCGTGGCGTGCTTGGCCGCGAGGCAGACCGCTGGCCACGTCGGTCAGTCTGACCTTACTGGAGCCGTGTGCTGGGACGGCACCTGAGGTTCCGTTTCCATGTTGGGAGTTAGTTCCCTGCAGATTCTGGCAGGGTCCATTGATGTAAATGAAGAAGCTGCCTGTCGAATATGTGAGGACGTGTTTATCTCCCCGGGGGGGGGGGGTCGTTGCAGTAGGTGACTTCCATTTCAACTGTGTTGTAGAGAAGCCATGGCTCCCGTTATGCTCTGACCTAGGTCAGGGCTTGGTGGTAGAAAACTGCTATTAAAATAGAAATATCAATAGCATGACTTACGATCGGTTCACTACATTTGTGACATTTAATTAACTGTTTGGTACATAAGCTTTAAGTCTTCGATTCTGCACTAATTCAAATTGAAGTCCTGAGCTGTGCGGAGCACGATGTGTACGGAGATACTAAGTACACATGCCGAAAATATGGGCCCACGCGCCAGTCACTCGTGTGACTATTGTTATCAGTTGTGTAACGTCTATTGTTCATTAAGTGTGTGAAAGCTGGACGTGATCACAGTGCGACAAATACTCGAAAAATAATGTAAATACAAAGCAACAAAAAACGACAAAGCAACAAAATCGTGGCTACCCGACAGGAGCTTAACTCTCAGGTCACTGACTTTGCAGCAACAAAATCAGTGGTCTGAGATCGCGACCCGTGCATCGGCACGGCATTACGGCAAATAGCTTGAATCACACTTTGTATGTATGTACTTGGAGCGACAGTCCGCGAACGGGTTCAGTCGTATCAGCGACTTACCTGCCTCGTGGCTATGGGCTAAGGGGGTACGTGTGGTTAGCACGTAGACATTTCCATGCCGTATTCCGGCATTTTCAACCTGAGATGATCGTTGCATATCAACATATACTGAAATATTGCAAGGAAAACGCACGCTATAGTCTTGGCTCGACCGAGGCCGCGTAGGAGATGGCGAGCATGCTGACCAAGAGCGAGCTAGCCACGAGTCCCTTGAATCACACTACCAAATAAATTAGTTTCTAGTTTCTCCCGAGCACCGTACAGTGCTGGTTAATAAGAGCTATTTCTTGAAATAAGATATTGTTCCTGCATTATGGTTACATTTTGCATAAAGATTGTATATATTATTGTTTGTTATGTAATGTTGCATACGGTTCTGTCGTTTGGGAACAAACAAGCCTGGAAAACCTGTAGATGTCTGACTGACGACAAGTTGGTATGTTTATTTCCAAAATTAGGTGTCTCATAAAATAAGCAGGGAATAATGAGCTCAGTTATTACGTTTCGAAAAGGCATTTCCGTAAATCTAACCCGACCATCTAACAAAACGTGCAAAATGTAAACAGGAGTTATTACAGTGTGTCTCTATACAAAAGAATAATTTTGTCAAGTGTAAGGCGACTAATTAACAAAATGAGAAGGGCTCGACGAACGCGCGCGCTGGCAGCCCGAGAGGCGACTGGACGGACAGCAAGCGCAGCGGCGGCGGGGGAGGCGGGGCGGAGTAGACGGGGCGAGCGGAAAGGAGCACGGTGGGAAGCGGGTGAAGCGCGGAGAAGCGGGGCGTGGCGGCACGAAGCGGGCGGTGGCGGGCGGTGGCGGGCCGGGAGCGGGGTTGCAGATGCCCGCGCACGCACGCGCACTGCGGGAAATCTCGTTAGCCCCCGATTTCATTACGGAAGCGATAGCAAAAAGGGAAATACGAACTGTCTACCTAATTTCAAATCCTTTGATCCGTAACGGACGACGCGGGCTGCCTGCCGCCGTCACGACTCGGCGTGCTACTTGAAGCTACTTCGCTCGGGCAGAAATATGGAGCCAACTCTCTAGTGGCGCCACCGTACGTATTATACGCGTATACGTTTCTAGGGAAACATTTGGAGCGTGCTACAAGTGATTACTAATTTGCGGCGCTCTCTAAATGCCACGTGCGAGCGGGAGAAGTTCGCAACTCCGTTTTATCAGGGATGTGATCGCTCGGAGAGACGGCCGCCCCGCCCATACCGGCGGCGCAGAGTTCCTCGCTCCGTGCGCAGCACGCGTGGGAGCGTTCGCCTCGCGCCCTCGCCCGCTCTGCGCCGCCCGCGCTGCGCCCAGCGTCTGCGCAACGGGCTCTCGCCCCCGACGCGCGCTCTCCGCCGAGATGATGCCGACGCCCCACTCTCCCTCTCCATTGGTTGATTGATGTTTCCGGGCACGTCAACTGCTACGGTCAGTAGTCCCGTTAATGTAGTGAGTGTTTTATCTCGATTTCTTCCCCGTTCGACGGTGAGGTACGGCGGAATTACGTCTCGAAAAAGTATTTCCGTAAATCTAACCCGACCATCTAACAAAACCTGCAAAATGGAAACAGGAGTTATTACAGTGTCACGTAAGTAACGTTATACACGTCTCCTTGTGCAGCATTTTCCCTTAAGGTATCTCCTCCAGCGGGGTTCCGCCCCATCCGGGACACGCTCTAAACTCCAAGACTGGTTTCACGACATATGCGGTAGAGAAGTGCATGTAAGTAAGGGGTGAGGGTAAAACAAGGATGAAGGAAAGACCACGCGCGGTTCGTGGTCCGTTTATTAGGATACCATCCCGGCATTGTCCTGGTATTTATCGTAGAAATCACGAAAAAGTACCGATCAGAGCAGTCCGTAGCCAGAATTAACCTTTAGACCGCAGTTGAACTCGACCTAGCTTTCTAGAAACTCCGCCACCTTCGGAATTCGAAACAGGATCACCCGGTTAGGGCCACTGCAGAAACAGCGGCATTGTTGGCTCTGAGCTAAACTTAGCCCCTTTTCGCTCGCGGCGCTGTCAGTCACATCTCCATTCTCATCGTGGCCAATAAGCAGTGCTCCCCCGGCAGCTGCCTGGCTTTCGCGCTGCTGCGAGTAGCCGTTCTCCTCTTTGCCGCCATCCCCTCGCTCTTTTCAACGGTACCATAGGAGATTTTTTCTTGGTTTCCCATTTGTGTAATGTATTCTACTGCTTCGAAGACCACGTATTTTTCCATTCTTTACTTTCAGCCCGTGTCTTTTTCTTCTCTCAATTCATCTTGTCTCTCAGTTGCGTTTTCTACATTCCACTTTATAGTGCATGCCTCGCCCAGTTTCATTCTCTGTGTGCTCAACTAATAATTTGCTGATGAAAGGTATCAAAGGTAAAATCATGAGTGCTTTGTAAATTATGGATAAATTCATGAAGCATGAATGAATTTACCGAGAAATTTTAGAATCAGAAGAGGTATTTGAAGCAGAATTTTAAAGGAAGAGTTGATACATATTAATTAAATTTAGAATATATGCTGAGAGATGAAACCATGAGATAATTTCGCTCTGATTGGTGTACACAGGAGAAATTCTTATTGGTATTCTATTTAATAATAGAGTCGATGCGAGCGTTGGGAGCATGCCATACTGATTCGGTGTTATTGATTACCCTAATACTCGTACAAAGACGTCAGTTTTTACAAGTGATTTTTTTTGTTCTAATGTCAATATCTGGATTTTAAAAGTCTGTAATTTTCACGAACCGAATGGATATGTGGCATATCAATTGGATGTCTCTGAAGTGAGAAATGACCTATCGCCCTCTGTGTTTCGTCGTGGTGCCTTTTATAAGTTTCCTTTTCGCTCGCTACAAGTCTATAACTAAAAAGTACATACATAATAACGGAAAACTGCGTGTAGACGATATGTCAAGGCAGTAGCATTGTTTTTCGTACAAAATAATGCTACCCTGTTGACATATTTTCTAAAGACGTAACAACCTAACACCTTTTTCAGATCACCTATGGACCGGATCAAATGTAGATCCGGATCAACTGAATGTAGGTACTACCTTTCTGTGGTTTGTCATAAATTACAATTCATGGGTCGTTATTATTAATATAGAATAACGCACGCACCATGCCTCGAGAGACTAACAGTTGTATCATGCCAGAAAAAAATTATAAGTACGATGTGGCTCTGGCTGTGCGAGCCTCTTCATGCACGTGAGCGTATCGATGCATGACACACCCAGCAGCCGCGAAAAAAACAACTAATACATGCCAGCCTCGCAAATGAGTCATTAAATGTGAGAATACGGGCGGTGCAATACGTTGAATATTGAACATGCGTGTCGCTCCTGCAATATTCCTTGCTGGCATTGTGTGGAGGCATTTCAGGGCACCTATTGTCGCGTCGCAAATTACTCGCCTATGTAACAGAACCGACTGAGAAATCAACAGCTCACGTGCATAAAGGCCGCTGGGGCCGCTGTATTCTGTAGCGCTACGCGCCAGCGGAATGTGTGCTGAGTGTGTACCATGCTTTTCGCTCGCAATCAGTTTCGTTCTTTCCTTTTCAGCTTTGCCCGATTACGCTGTCCTGAGCATTGTGCTGAGTTCCGTCGTGGTGGTGTTGGCGGTGGCGTCAGGTTTTATATACAGGTAAATCTCCATTGAGTTATTTTCAATACATTTAAGAGAATGCTTATGAACTCTCATGCATTATTTGTAAAGTATTTGAAGTGATAATGTAGTTAAAATGTACAAAGTTATTTGGCTCTTGTATTTAGAATAGACCATCCTTAACTATTGGAGGTAACTATCTATATAAATAAATTCACTACAAGTAAAATTTGTATCAGTTTAGCCTTACGACGGTTTCGAGGACATATTTTTTCATAATCATCAAACTAGAAAATACGAATTTGAAAACAACAATGAGTGAATGTCTTAAGAAATGAAAAATAATGACAGAGTTACATGTGCAACAATTAAGGTTAATTATACAAAAGTTATTTAGTTTGTGAATTTATTTTTATAGATAGTTACCTTCAATAGTTACGGATATTCTGCTCTAAATACGTTGGTCAAATACGAACATGTATGTATGTGAATATGAACAGACACACATACACTTAATACAATGTTATTTCCATATGATATTTTAGCAAATAATAATATCCATGCTCCTTCTTCCCTGTAGTTACACCAGATTTGAATATCTGTGCATTTCTCCCGCTCATATTTCCCCCTTGCATGAAAATCCCTTAAAGAGAATTCACGGCACGAGTTGTTGAATTTATAAAGAATTTCTATAGTGGAAAGGGGTATTGATATTGCCGAGACTTCGGTGAGCATAAGAATGAAGCGAGTCGGGTCACTTTCTCAAGAACGTAGTGAATGGACGAAGAAACGCGCAGGTTCCCTCCTCTCCGGAGATTCCTCAATAGAGCGTCTTGTATGAAAAGATGAGAACTCGGCTGCCTTCTTCTTACCTCACTCCTCGAAACTTGGTCTTTACTCGAGGGCAGTAAATTATCACTCCAAAGTCAAATGTCTGTCTAAGCTCTTAAAATAGTACTTTAGTTCTTTAAATGTCGTATATTTTTACGATCGTACTTCTCGTTTTAGGGAACATAAGTTTCTAGTGTTCATAGGTATGTACAAAATTAAGAAAATAAGAATTCAGGAACCAATCAATTCCAGGGGATATAACAAAAATATTTTTAAAATTAAACTTAACAAATACTCACACACGAAAAGAAACAACCCCCTCTACACACGTTCTTAAAGGAAAATTAAAATGTTGTATTGATTTACAAATAACATCCTAGTGTCTTTCCTAAAATGCATTTGTCAGTGTGTTAATATTTTAAAATATAAGAGAACATAATTTGAATGTCAACAACACACATCACTATTTAACGCAAGTTTTAATATACATCTCCGAGAATGTTGCAATCCATGTTTGTAAAGGTAATTGCTAATAATTGACACTGGATTATCACAATTTATGAATATCCTTTACATTTTGTTTGAAGGCGGCCAATTATTTCTGCTTCATATCTCTCTGCTCAACGCAATAAAGTTGAACATCTCATTATACTGTCACGCGTTTTTGCAATATCACAGTAATATTCACACCGTCAATTTTATAATGAGTGTTTCCGCGCAAATTATGACTAATGACCCGCGTTTCGTCACTTGATACGAAAGCAATGCGCAAAAACAATTGAAAAGCAACCTATGCGTATTTGGCGTGGCGCACTTGAAGGACGTTGCGTTGTTGGCTCGGTGGGGACCGGCGTGGGGGCGTACTTGCGTGATGGAGTTGCGGCCGCTGCTGCCAGCGAGGGCGCGCTCCACCCAACTTCGCTAATCGAGAGCTATTAATTCGATGCAGCAAATTAGTTGATGGCTGTCGTGGCGATTAGATCGAAACTGAGTTTATTTGCCGAGAGAAAGAGGAGCGGTAAGAATTTAAGCCTGTTAAAATTAGTTGAGGGGAAAATTTTGAGAAGATGCGCAGGCGGCCCCCCCGCAAGATGATCGGATAACGCCAACCTTTGAGAGGCTGATGGGGCTTGTCGAGCGACATGATTTAGAGAGCCAGCGCCTGATTGGTTGCATGTCTCATGTTTCTTTTTTCTTCTTTTCTTCTTCCATGCCCTGCTTCCATTCCCTCTGGCTTTGTGCTTTGTGTCTCTAACCTTCATCTTTATGTCCTTCACCTCCGGATCTATTCAGCACGTATTATTCGTCATTTCTACCAAAATATAGTTGTTTTTTTCATCTTCGATATTAATCCACTATAGTTTTTCAACCACAAGTTATTCTTTCTCTTTCTTAATAAATTAAGAAAGAGAAAGAATAACTGTTCGTTTCTTCTTTACACCTTCAGGTTTTTCTAATATATTTTTCTCTTGTTATTGATTATATTAGATTATGGTAATGCCATTAACACTCACGTACCAAAGCCAGTTTGTTACCCGAAGAACCTGAATTAGAGATCAACTGCGGAGCCCAGATTGAAGAACATATTTAGATATTTAAAAACTAACATAGTATTGAGCGTTGTATTACAAACATTATATGCATGTTGTGTTCAAATGTTTTTAGTTTTGTTGTAAGGCAAAGTCATATTTTTTCACATTTTCTTTATTTGTAGTCTTTTCCGCAGAGACACAGATGACAATGTCCTTATTTTAAGTAGTTTTTTAAGATTCACTGTATGTATTGATAGCACAACTGATCTCTACAAAGACAGAAACTAAAGTAAGATTTCAACGTTTTCATGGACAGGTCTTAATTGTTCGGTGAAACGTCTTGAAATGTTCGGTGCTAATTACTATCGCGACAATTCCTGTGCTGGGTACATTCACTCAATCACAAAGATATTACACATGGCAACCGTTTCGAATTTTTATGCATTGAAATATCCGAGAAGCGTTGAAAGAATAAACTACCACCGAGAGTTCATAAAACTTTTAATAATAAAAGTTCTTAACGTGAAACGGTTACTCTTTACCTAAGCAAAGATACAGGGGGAAAACGACGTTGGTGTCCATCGTTGCCGCCCCCCTTAATTGGTCAGTTTGAGAGGTCTTTAAGATCGTTCAAATTTTTTAAACAGAAAATCATGTAAGCAGGGGGGACTGAAATCATGCTCTATTGTGAATCTCGTCGACAATAGACAAGGGAAAATTAGGCGGAATATCTCCTCCTAAAAAGTAAATCTGGGGGGATAAAGCAGTTCTCAGAAACGTTTGTGGTTTGAGAGAACACACCAGGGTATTAGAGGTTAAAGAAAGTATATTTCTAATATAGATAAAACAAATTATTTAGTTCAATACAATAATTGTCACTACCATTTAAGGCACACAAGAAAATCAAACTTAAACTCCTTGAGTTAACGTAAAGAAAACGAATTGACTCAACTCATTGAGTGAATGTAAGCAGCACAAGAAACTGGCGCGGGAGCAGTTCGTGCCGAACATTTCAAGACGTTTGAACTTCTGTACAATCTGTTGTTCTTGGCTTTCTCCAGTATTCCAGAGGTGTTTATCCGAACGATGGTAAGTTATTCGTAAGTAAAGATCATAAGCCACAAAACGGATGAAGGATTTCACCTGAGTTCAGCCATCCAACTCCTTTCTTCCCGCCCCCCTGATGCCCGAGGTGTGGCTCGTCTCGAGCGAGGCATTGTGGCGGAGGCGCTCTGCAACGATGCTTGTGTGTCGCAGGCACTACAAGCTGGAGGCGGCGATCGCGTCCCAGAACTGGCGCGTGCAGTGGTCGGACTTGGTTGTGGTGCCCCGCGATACGGCGCGAGGCAGTGTCTACAGCCAGGTGAAAGGAAGCCGCCTCGTGAGTTGACTGCGCGGGGGCGAACTACTCTCAGGATCTCTCGCGCAGGGCGCTATATCTGACAAATGTTACGTGTAGTTGTGTAAGATTCGAGTCTAACGCAGAGTGACTCGGAATAAATGTTACAAACTTCTAGGATATGATTACTGTTTGCCAAATACCTCATAAAACGGGGAAGCTCATATAACGATGTCACACGTGACATTTGCTCCTAATTGTCAACTTATCTTGCACTTGGGGGTGGCAGGTACATGAATTCTCTGCGTTATAAAATGTACCTTCTACACAACAGTGCACGATTATATTGCCTACAAATGTCACATGTGTAACTTCGCTATATTAATAAAATATCTCACATGTTCATTAGAAAATAAGTTATCATCTCGACATTCTACATCCCTTGAAGTGTGTAATATTTATTCTGAGACATTCTCCGTTCTTATTCAACACAAGTGTGTCGACACTTCAGAGCAGTTATAAGTTGTGTTGTTGTTTCTAACGCTTGGGTTCTGGAAAGAATATTTTGGTCCACACCCTGCGTAGGCTGCATTTCGGCAATGTTCATATTTGGCACCTTTATTGACTTCTAAAGTTACCAAATACGTCTGGTAACACATTTTCGATTCCAGGGACCCACGCTACAACAGTGTTATTTTTATCCTTTACTTGTGTCGGTCCCTCGCCGCGAGAAATTGGATCTCATTAAGTTGGAAATTGTCGGAGGATTTGATTTTGTCGGGCACCTACCAGGGTTCGTTTACTTGCTTGACGTGGCATATTGAAGATTTTCCGCCCTTCGAAAACCCATCGTTTTCAGTCGTTTGAAGCCGTAAGCTCGAGTTTCGGAAGGCAGTTCGCTACCCCCCAATTTTCCCATCATTGAATTGATGTCGCACGTAAATTGCGAGTCCAAATAGCACTAAGAATTACTATTACGATTAGATTGAACGTGATTACTCCAATAATATAAGTCATAAGTTACTATTTTGTCGATTTGGAGACGTTACCGAATCTGACAATCCCAACTTCTACGTGGGTTTGACAGTTTGATTAATGTTAGAATCAATAGTAAGTACGTTCAGAAGAAAAATGAATGAAATAGAATGCTGGTTTGGACTGCACGCCTGAAACTACTAGCAACCAGCCCACTGAGACGTTTTATTCCGTTCAGATATGTTAGTCAAAGAATTGTGGCGGAAGGAAATATACAGTTTCATCGTCACTCGGTTCCAAAATGTAAATATCTATGAGATTAAAACGAAGATAAATTCTGTCCATCTTGTACGAGGGCAATTGTAGATCCTCAAACTGAGAAAAGAACATACGCGATTGATTACCAAATATTATCACATGTTTTTTTCAGCATTTAATTATCATAATTGAAGCACACAAACATAAATATATGATTGGAAATACTGTTTTAAATAAGTTTGATATATGCTTTTCTGCTGTTGATGGAAAAGCTATATACAGTGTGTGGTGAATCACATTCGAATTATATATTTCTTATAATATGATGATTCTGATTTTAATATGCTGATATATTTTTTTGGGAAAGTAGATGAAATTGAAATGAAACCAAGAAATCATAGTTCATATTCAAGACGTGAATAATATTTCGAATAAGAAGGTTCAATTCCAAAGATATATGTTTTGTTCCAAAACTGAAAACTACTTGGATGACTACTTGGAAAACTGACTTGGAAAACTACTTGGATACATGGCGGAACCATGTATTGGATTAGAAAACGCACAATGCTATAACGAGTCGTACGCTCTAGTTTATTACTATTTATCTCTTTTTCATATCTACAATACATATTTTTCAATGTTAAAATATATCATTTTTCGAGATAAAATATGAGTTTAAATTATCTATTGCTATACAGAAACACTTGTTAAAACAGAAGACATACGAGGGATCAGAAACCTACCCTATGATAAACAGTATGTTTATGAATAACGTCTGGCCCGTTCCGCTACAAACAATTGTTTCGCGTTTACGAACTCTTATTTTAATTAATTTTTTCACCATTTCTTGCTATGTTGATATATTACAAGCGTACATATGAAAGAACTCTCGCATGTTAAACCACACCGCCTCCTTTCATTTCCTTTTCATGTCCTTAATGTAACTTTTTCTGCAAGACCCTCTTATCCTCCGCCTTTTATTCTATGTCTCCTTGTAATTGTATTAACTGAACCTATTTGAACGTAACAAAACCATACACCCTTGTGAATACAAATTATTTTTATTAACAATAATACCGAATAGATAGGTACACTCGGGCAATTTAATCACATATAATAATAATAAATAACTTTAATTTCACACACAGCTGCGAATTCTGCACGTCTTTGAACAGCTGAAGTAGAATCTTGAAGCGCCGAACAAGCAAAAATGTAACAGAATACCCAAGACGTCCTGTAGGTTAAGGTGTGAAGACCGTTTCTTTGAGGTCTTTGCCATCCTATTTCCAAACACTCGGGTTTTAAGGTCTTAAAACGCTTCGTTTTGGAGTTATATACCTATACATGTTTCAACTATGCTTCTCAGATGTTGCAAGTTGCATTTTACATGAATATTTAGACGCGTTTTATTTTTTTTCTTCAAGAAATTTTTCAAGTTTTCAAAATTTAAGTGCAATTTGAGAAGTATCCCTGAAATTATTTTCTTTAGAGACATTTATTACAATGATTGGTTGGTGTGAGAGCTGCGCAACTCATCTGTTCTACTGAAATAATGCAGGAGAGGCTTTGTAAATTTCTGGAAATTCATTGAAAGATAATGTTTCTCCAAAGTCGTTGGAATTACACACACAAGCAAGTGCATAAACATGTAAATTATTTTTGTTATATACCGTATTTTTACCGTATAAGTCATTCTCAATACAATAAAAGTTAATGGATAAAGGAATGGATACAATAAAAGATAATGGATATAGGACCTTATACGAATCATGCTAGTTAAGAACATAAAAATAATATAAAGGTAAAAGTAAGTTTTAAAAAAATATTATTATAATTATTTTTAATTTGTTCTTAACTTTTATTCGTTTTTCAACTATTTATAGTTAAAATGATGGAAAGGGATTCTGGAACTTAAGAAAACGTTAACAGAATGTCTTCTCCTTTATACGTCACATACCGTTTTTTTACTGTTTTTTGTTTAAATAAATCTAAATCTAAAGTACAAATTTAAAAGTGTAATAATTTTAAAAAAGTATTTGATTTTCTAATCGATTCCATCGCCGCTGCGTTGTTTGCTGCAAATACGCCAGTATCCGCAGGATGTGAGAAGTCTATCCCGAAATTAAACGCAGCCTGTTTCTGTCACAGTCGCCCTTTAGTCGATTCTAACTCCTATTTAAACAGCCACATTTGTCATGTCCTATATGGATTTCTTTTAATGCTAACAATTTTTTTCATTCCAGGTTCATCTCTAGTAATGATGCTATTAGAGTTTTAATCACATGTTATCTTAGCACGTACACTTGCTTTCCATCGAGCCAATTGATTCTAATATTAATATTAATATTTGCCAAATTGTCAATATTATAGAGAGTTTGGCAATGGGAACTGTCATGGATTTGACCCTGCCTATTCACAATATTATAGTTATAGTCAATCTGGGGTCTCTCACGTGATTGACTAGTTTTTGTCAAAGCAAATGTCTTTATGTTTTCGGCGAATGTATAATAAATGCACTCGCATTCCTTCAACAAGTATTTTTCAATTGTAACGTTTCCCCGTTTTCACATTGATGGTCGCATAAATTCTTTCTTGTGAGTATCATTACGAGTTAATAGCTGAATAAATCAGCAAGCTCGTGACACACCCGTAAACCTTCAGTGACAGCCATACAACTTAGGGACACGACACCCATTTTGTAAAGCTTTGGTCATAATTATCTTTCCTAGTTACTTGTGTTGTAATATCTCACGTCTCACTGACTTCTCACTCTTCGATATTAATGTTTCAGACATTCTCATCTGGCGACTTAAGCCTTGCTGGCGATAAGCAGGTGTTTGTACCGGTGGCTTTCTACAAGGTATGTTGTCTGCACTTACGATATGAATGCATGATTGTTTTTGATCTCTCAAATTTAAAACAATACCACATGTAATATGGACTTCTATTCCACACGTCTCACGCAGTTGCTAATTGTGTTTGACGTTTAATAAATAAGTACATATAAATTTATAATACATTTATGAAACTTCTGTATTTTAGTATTTCTCTTATACGTCTTGCGTAGAAGTTTACGGAACCGCGCGTTTTTAAAGTCTTTCTAATACTAACTACAGACATCGACAACAGAAGTGCAAGTATATTTGAATATCGAAAGAACTGCGAAAAGTAAATGTGTTCCTCTCCTCTTAACTTTCTTTCTCACAAAGACGTTTCCAATTGAACTTTCGGAAAGACTTCGGCTTAAAAGACTCCTTAAATGAGGCGAGAGTCGACGAGAAAATCACAAAAACATTTATCACTGTACATCTAGCACAGAAAAACTGTTTTCTGCCTCGAACGTCGAACGTCCCTTGAACTCAGGAATGTGAGAAAATTAGCGCTTACTCAGCATTGTTTTCAACCGATGTAATATAGAACATGCTAGGTTATGAACCAAATGTGAAATATTTGAATGTTTGACTTCTACTTTGAATTCATTCCTTCGTCTTTCTAAGTCTTTTTAATGATTTAAATTTTACTATCAAATTTGATTTACACAGAACAAACAAACTGCATTACGAATATGTTTATACTAACTAAGGATATTTTATATGCTAAAAGAGATCAAGATATTTAATTTGTGTATTTTACATCACGAAATTCATATCTCGTAATTTATTCAACATTAAATTTAATATTTGACTCGTTTCATTCACATTTTTAACACCTTATGTTTTCTTTCAGGGAACGCAAGTAGCACTCAAAGCTGTGCGCAAGGTCGATCTGACGAGACCTATTTTGCTCGAACTGAAGAAGGTACGTTAGTATTATTCTATTGAGTGTTTTCTTACTAATGAATACAAAACGTTTGGACATTTTTTGGAAATAAAAATAGTACTGTGAAAATGTTGTCAATATATTGTATACAATTTAACGGTTTAAAAGACTCTCCTTACCTTATTCTTTATGTATATTTCCTCTTTCTCGTGTACCGTGTAAACGTGTAAGCGTTGTAGCAAAGCATAAAAACAATTCCAATCTTCAGTCATGATTACCATAATTTTATAAAAATTAAATTTATACTTTTCACTATAAACTGTAAATATGATGTGATAATGTATTGTTATCTTATGTAGAAATAAAATCTAATTTATTAATAAAACGTATTAATGTAATTACTCTTTGTTACAGATGAAGGACTTACATCACGACCATCTCGTGAGATTCCTTGGAGCTTGTTTAGATCCACCGAATTGCTACTTACTAACTGAATATTGTCCCAAGGGTAGTTTACAAGATATCCTAGAGAATGAACAATTTAAGCTCGATTGGATGTTTCGTTACAGTCTCATGCAAGATCTAGTCAAGGTACCTCGCTTTTTGTGAACCTCTCAATATTAATTGTTGTACTCATTTCCGTATTAAACGCAATGTGTGTTTCAACAATGTTGAAGTGTAGGCAGAATTATCCATACACAGAATGAAGAACTATTCTCTGATAAAGAATTCATATATCGGAAGGAGAACTATTCCCACTTGAAATTATCTAAGTTAGTGGCCAGAAGTAAAAATGTTGCTGAACAAAATCACACAAAACATGTTATCGAAAAAGTAGCACTTAAAATACTTAAGAACAATAAATAAACTACACTCTATAACACGGCAATAAATCATGTATTTTAACAAAAACAGTCTTAGCTAATATTGCAATAACATAATGCAGTGCTTTATATACACAATACAACAGACCTTAAGAAGAATGTGAAAAATTGCTGCATAAAGCAAAACGTAAATAGCATATATTTAATAGTAGAGGCCTCTTGAAGACATGTAATTGCATGACTACAGTGTTTTCTTTTTTCCTATGGTGTTATTTGTAACGAGTCGGCCATTGCCCGTAGTTCCGCTCCAGTATATTTTCCTTGGCCTTCCTTTGAAGCATACCCCTCGTGCAAGTCGCGAGGATAATTTTCGAACTGGCTCCTGTGCTTCCGACGTTTTTCTCACTTTCTCGGTCAGACGTCGATCAAAATTAACTAAGTACGAACTGCCCGGTTAACAATATGAACGTGGAACTCATACAACAAAGACGTGAACTTTGCAAAGAAAGATATGTGAGTTGTTGAAAGTAATATGGAATAATGCACTATTGCCAACTAACTGAAAAACACTAATAGTGTGCTCAATCTATACTGGAGATAAATCAGAATGTATTAACCCTAAATGAATATCCTTACTTAATATAATATACATAATTTTAGCGGTAATCGTAAATAATTGATTAATAAAATATACTGAAGGTACACATGGAGAATATCAAAATGGGTTAAGAAGGATAATATATTTGTTGTGAGGCGGAAATTTGAAAAATGCTATGAGTATAACATAGTACTTCACATATTGTTTGTTGAATTTAAGCAAGACTTTGGCAAAGTTATCCTATCCAAATTAGTTGAAAGACTGAAAGAAACAAGAATTCCAAACAAGTTAATCGGATTGATTAAGATGTCCGTACAGTATATAATTGCTAGAATTAAAGTAGAAAACTCTCTATCCAGTTCCTCTGAAATTTTAACCGGCGTAAGGGAAGGTGACCCTCTATCGACAACTCTATTTAATTTAATGCAAGAACCCGTAATCAGGAATTGTATATAACAGATGATATAACCTTTCAACTGCCTCAGCTTATTGCCTATGTAGATGACGTCATAATCGGGAGAAACAAGAAAACGCTGAGAGAATTGATTTTGATAGAATTTATTGGTAAAAGAGCCGGAAGTAGTAGTGCATATATAGTAACTGCATATGTAGTAACTGAACACAAAAAACTATGCATTTTACAATAGTTCTATGACGACAATCAACATATAGACAACCACCGGTTTTTGAATGCAGAAAACATCAATTGTTTGGGCACTACATTAAATGAGACAAATCAAATACACGCTGTAATTAATGACAGAGTTAGAAAAGGATTGAAGAAATATTATGCTAATTTAAAACTGTTATTATCAAAGCTCATAAGAGATATAAAATTGAGAATTTATAAGATCCTAATATATGTAGTTGTAACGTATGCATCAGAAGATAGCAGCAAGATATGGATATTTGAAGGGAAAATATTGCGTAGAATATACGATCTAATTCAAGTGTCTCCTGGAACCTGGAGACTAAGAACCAACCAATATATTGAGAACCTAATAAACAGCGATGATGCCATACGATTAATCAAAGCAAAATAAATACAGTGGATAGGTCATCATCAAGCATAGGTCAGCATAGCAGTAGGCTCCTAAAGAAAATTATGGAACAAACAGTAACATTGACGAAAAAAAGAAAGACGAAGAAATCCCGTGCCAGGATCTCCATGTGCTTAATGAAAGAAAGTGGTGACATTAATGTACAGGGAAAATGGAATGATATAGTTCTGAAAGCCAAGACCCACAACTGATTTTAGTGCTAATGGAATAAGAAGAAGGAGAAGGAGAAGAAGAAGAAGAAGAAGAAGAAGAAGAAGCAGAAGAAGACGAAGCAGAAGAAGAAGACGAAGCAGAAGCAGAAGAAGAAGAAGAAGAAGAAGAAGAAGAAGAAGAAGGAGAAGAAGAAGAAGAGTCCTGTTGGGTGAACGGGAGATTTCGATACGATGGGAGATTACCGGAAAATTTAATATTGACGGCATCTATTACGTTGTTTTACATGCCGCATTGCGGATTCTTCCGCCATTCAAGAATACACCCACCTCATCCCGGATCGAAATCGTGCACTGGAAGTTCAAAGGCCACTAAGCTTTGCCAACCGAGATGCTCATCATCGTGGGCTGCGATGCACCTACGAGAACGAGATTGGGCGGAATGACATAAACAAATATGAGTATGTTTCAGTCAAAATCGAAACCTTTATTCTTTTTGTATTTTTGCCGAGCGCCTGGGTTTCTAACAAAACCATAGTTGCCTTTGACATTGTCGGAGAATGCATAGATTTTTTCTATTTCTGGGCGCATTGGAAATGAGTAATATTGAATAGCGGCCTGCAGCAGCACAAATACTGCGGACCAAACCACTCTAAATGGTTTTCCAAAATGTAGCCTCAACACTACTCAAGAACAACAAATAAAATACTTCATTATAAAACGTATTACAGTATACAATCATATCAAGTATTAGTAATAAAGAATGTTTAGGAACAGAGCAGCAGCATCGTGTAGTATATTCAGGTACACTAAACAATACTTCTTTACTCAACAAGAATAAGGTTGTTCCATAACGCAACACGTGAATAGCAAATATTTAACGTTGGGCAGTCTCGTCTGTGGAGACTTGCTGTTGTATTAATTAAGCGGTCTTGCAAATTGCGACACACTAAATTTGAGAATTTAATCGGTAAGCGCACGATAGAAAGAAAAACAACTAAATATTTGCATTCTCATACTAAAGTTCAAGTTGTTTAATTGTTTTAATATTTTCCCCCAAATCCTGTGTACCTAACGAAACCATCGACACCTCTCTCATGACTATAGGCTGCTTAGTTATCTTTCAATTTCTGCGCGCATACCAAATTGGTTGTCTAATGGGGGCAAACAGTGCAACCCGCCAGCCACGGCTGTCTAGCGGAGCGGCGCGGAGTTTTCTGAACGATATTTCGTTAATTTGGATTTTTTTGTGAAAATCGAAACCCTTTCATTGGTTTTGAATTTTACCAGAGATTTCTCTTATCTAATAAAATGATAGACATATCCAGCATTACCAAAGACTTCATAGTTCAGCCCAAAAGTACTAAAACAGGGAGGTTATCTGGAAAAAGTGATAACTTTTCTGTGAGTATGTTGTTACACTCACGGATTAGTTAAAATGTTTCGACCTCCCAGGCCCTTTAATAACTGCGGTAGTTTCGAAAAACCGACATTTAGTCTGAATTTGTGCAGATTTTCCTCTACAACTCTTTCACCTGAAGTCTTGTTGAAAAATAATTAAAATCAATTTTCAAAAGGATAAAAAAATACCTACAACACTATTATACAACATTCCTTGTCAACTGGACTACTAGTTTTCACTAAATTCCTGCGCACATAATGAATTAGCAATTTAGATAATAGATGACGTATAACACTGAAACCGTTGGAGGAAGATGTACAAAGTTGTGTTATAGCAATATGCAAATATACAGATGGTAGGAATATCGCGTACAAAAGCTATATCACGGCCGTGCATTGTCAGAGCTTTCATTTGTACTTAAGTGTATTCATGTGAAGAGATACCTGACGTGACGCAAGTCTGGAATCAACAGACTTTGATCGCAGATGGATAGTTGGGGATAGATGCGTGAGACATTCGAAATTGGAAATTGTTAGATAATTCAAGATTCCGAGATCCACGTTGTCAAGAGTGTGTCAAAAATACTGAACTTTAGGTATAACCTCTCACCACGGACAACGCAGTGTCCAGCCGCGTTTGCGTCGAGATTTCGGTGCTTACAGACCAGCAACACTTGCAGAAAGAAATCAATCAACGAACGTATCCGTTACGACAGTGCAGTGAAATTTGGCTTTAGGAGTCTATGACAGCAGAAGAGCGACTCGAACGCCTTTGCACGACCAAGCCTGCAGCGTCTCTCCTGGGCTCGTTACTGTATTGATTGGACCCCAGATTACTGAAAAACGGTGCCTTAGTCAGATGAGTCCCGATTTCAGTTGTAAGAGCTGATAGAAGGGTTCGACAAGACAGTAGCAACAATGCACTGTGGAAGATGGTGGTGGCTCCATAACGATGTGGATTGTTTTTACGTTGAATGGACTGTGTTCCCTGGTCCCACTGAACCGATCATTAACTGGAAATGGTTATAATAGTCATGTCCAGCTACTTGAGAACCATTTACAACCATTCATAGACTTCGTGTTCCCAAACAACAATGGAATTTTGATGGATGACAATGCACCATGTCACCAGACAATTGTTCGCAATTGATTTGAAGAGCATTCTGAACAATTCGAGCGAATGAATTAGCCACTCAGATCGCTCGACGTGAAAACCCAACGAACATTTATGGGACATAATCGAGAGGTCAGTGCGTGCACAAAACCCTGCCCGTGCAATACTTTCGCAATTATGGATGGCTATAGAGGCAGCAAGGCTGAATATTTCTGCAAGGGTCGGCCAACGACATGTTGAATCCATGCCACGTAGAGTTGCTGCACTTCACCGGGCAAAATCAGCTCTGATACGATATTAGGAGGTATTCCACGACTGTTGTTACTTAAGTGTGTATGGCGAATGTATTAGCGAGAACGTGAAATTTGGAAATAAATTGAATTGTGTTGGTATTTTGCTATTGCACTAGCTTATTTATTGCTACTCAAACAATCAAGAAATACG